TCCAATTCACAACTGCATACCATGGATAATAATCCTCACACAGAAAAAAGTGTACCATGCGTGGAACAATAAATACTATTAATGATCAATCTGTCCGGTATCAAACAACACATGCAAGTTTCATCAATTCTTACTCAGGATTCTACGTTCCAAGCTTCTGGGAAAGTAAATTCTGCTGCTCAAGGGGAACAGCTGGTCTGTAAGTCCAGGTGCTCTACACTGCTAAAAATAGGTCCAATGACTCTATATTTACATTGTCATAATTTATAAGTGATTTAAACACACATTTTTCAATTTCAACCTGTTTTAAATAGTTAACTGGCCAGATCAATTTTTTATTCTCTGTATCATAAAATTATGATAGATAAAAGATAACACTGCTTTATGGTACCAACTGGTAAAGCACTTGTTTCTATTTCTGACAGTTCTGCTTGTTTATGAAAAGAACATGCACATGGGGTTTGAAGGAAGAAAGTGTGCATGAGTGTTTGTGTGAAGGGAAACCAAGAATATACACAGAGGGAAAAAAGTGATGTCATTGCTAATACCAAATCTACAGGTCTACTTAAAAAAATTGGAGTATTCAATTACAGTATGAAAAAGTAGTGTTCAGTTTACTTCATAAATATTAGTAATGACATAAAGCAGCTGGCAGCAGAAACCACACATTTGGAAGACTTCAACACAGTGCCAACATATAACAAGAAAATATGAATTTTCCAGCTGTGAAGCACTTGTTTAATGAATGGTAATGACTGAGTATAGAGGCATCAGGAATTTAAAGATAAACATTTTCACTGCTTTCAAGTTTGTTAAACTCTTCCTCTTTCAGATATGTTTAAAATCTTACACACATCTTACTTTGGTAGCATCAGTGCACCACTGATTTATCTGGAGAAGGAAAAGACAATTACTGATGTCTGAGGTTTTAATGTTGCACTCAGTTAAATTCAGGTCACACAATCCAAACAATGCCACTATTGCTTCAATTGTGCATGCCCAAACATACAAATCTTGCAGTTCTAACAAGCACAAAATAATTTTTGACATAAAGGAAATTATAAAGAACTTTAAAATTCAGGACCAGGTTTTACAGTCAATAATTTAAGATAATGGTCACTATAAAATAACTCAACAAGTGTTGCAGGAATGTATAACACACTATATTACAACTTAATAGTAAACAGAAAATTCTAAAAACAGAAAACAGGCCTTTCAAAGCAAATTAAATATTGATAGAGTAACACAACAGAACAAGGTAAAACAGAAATAAAAAACTGGGGGGGGGGGGGG